TGTTCCGTACTTCTCCAATATTCGTTTCAAGTTTAGTTTTATGACCACCAAATTAAAATTAAAATCATAGCTTGGCTTAACAATTTCATTATAAGTCATTTTGAATTTCAGTCCACAGAAAAGTTTCTAAATTAAACGACGTTAGATTAGATTGCAGAGTTAGATCAAAGTGTTTAGGTATAGATTATGCCAAGAATATTTTCAAAATGTGAACTCATCGAAGTGATTGACACAACACACAAGCATCGTCATCGACTTGCGCTCCCCCACCCCCCAAAAAAACAGTCAGCACACACGGTGCAGAATTTAGGAGACGTCAGAATATGCAGAACCTCGTGCATAATGTGAGCGCGGCATCGCCCGTAAACAAATAGAAACAATCTCCCCTCAGAGTTTGTAAACACTGCTCTAAGTTTTTGGTCTGTACAGTTGACACAGAGTTCGGTGATGCAAACAACAGTCAAGCAAAAAAAATAAGTAAAGTTTGCTATAGAAATGCACCTGATGCGCAGGTTTTGTTGAGCCGCTGATTGAGCAAAGGGCTTCATTCGGAAAACTTTCGCGAGCAGAACGAGCTGTGAAATAAAGCTCGCCGAGGAGGAATAAAGAGGAAATTCAATGCTGATTATTGGCTTGAATTTATTTAGAAAACATGAAATGCGGTAATGAGTTGTACATATAGATATTTTGCAGAGAAGCAAAATATCTATAAAATTTGCGTTTTGAAATACCAAATTGGAAGTCGAGACTAAACTAAACAATTCACTTAATGAAGGAAAAATATACCAATGATTAACTTCATCCGGTCAAATCTGAATTGAATGATGTCGAGCGGCTTGCATTACCAATACATGTATATCTAATTATGCGCATGGGAAATAAAACTCAATCATTACAATTTCGTAAATTATGAAGGCATCAATGACACCATACGATCAAAGCTGTCGAATAATGTGCAGGAAATGTGATAAATACGACGATTATCGAACGAGTTACGACATCATAACGAAAATATATTCCACATCATTTCATATAGCTGTTCATTAGAAGCATTATTTGCGATCGAGATATTACGTTAATATCATGCTGAATTCCGGGCAAGTCTGATACCAGTACGTTGGTTGTGATAAGTTAATACACTTGCACGCGCACAACGAAACGTCGTATTGCTACATTGAGACGTCGCCTCAACGCTACGCAGGTTGACCGCTACACAAAGGGCCTAACCACATGCCGCAGCGTGACGTCTGCTATAGGCTTACCTGAGGCACTTGCCGCCCACCACAGCAAGTTAAGGGACGCAAAAATTCCGAATTTCGTGTTGCCTAAACTTCATTTAGAATTTTTTTGGGACAATTATGACTGTTATAAACGAAGCGTAATACTTTTGAAAGTATATCTTAAAAAAGATTTGTGGAAAGACTAAATTGTTTTCAGATAATGATAATTATCTGAAATTTTCAGAGATTTATAGAAGCATATATAGGTTCAAAATGCTTAAGGTGTGATGGGAATTATTATTAAGAGTTTGAAATTGAAATGGTTATACGCATCTCTTAAACCAGGAAAATTCAAAACAAATTCTTAATTTTTCTTATCCAGATAATTCGAACTAATTGGGGCATCGTTCAGTAAAAAAACCCTCGATGGTCGTCACAGCCTCCTGGAATGGTTTTAAATATTTTCGTTATTTTAGCTTAGCCGCCGTGAATTACGCATTCACTCAATGAGAGATGAATCGATCAAAATTTATCCGCTACCTGATACAAGGTAAATAAAACAAGATGGATTTCAGTGCTTGTAGCCAGATGCAGTGAAAACGTATTTACAAGCTGCATGTCAAGTTTCAACTGTACACCGTACAGTGTACACGTCCAGCCATTGTGTCTCACTCATGCGGTTTATTTACAAGATCCATAATTCGTTAAGAAGTTTACATCCTCTGAGCGGCATCCAGCGTCAAGGTTTCCATGGAATCCGTCCACCAGAGAAGGATCTCATATGGTACCTTTAGAAACTGGTCTCGTTTGGATGGCACTTTCATGCGAGTCAGACGCAGAATCGCAGCCTGGGTGCTCTATTGACACGTAATCGTTCGAGTTAAGTCTCATTGACCGAAACCAGAGACGCGGTAACACCGAGCGGCTTTCCCTTTACATTAAAGGCAGCTTGAAAACAAGCTTGGATATCCTAAGCTCAAACATGTGCTCTCAACAAAAGACGTGATGAATATTCACCAGCTCGCCGAAAAAAACTCGTATCGCATTTGTGGTAAACTGTGAGTCTTGGGAACTTCAACTATCAGTTTTAGCCTCCCATGAAACTATTCTGAGCATAGCAGTCTCCAAATAACTTAAAGGGGTGAATTTGAAGCTGTATAACGCAAATTCAATGTTTGTAAGAAAAAAATGTATGAAAACTTTCTAATAAAGCAAAAAAAGCCAATTTTCAAGATTGCATCGTCAAGTGTTAATCTTGCGAGAATCACGCGCTTCTCATTATACAACAAATGATGCAAATAGAAAATGTCAATGTTAAAATGTCTAGAATAGCATTCACGTATTAGAATCCGAACAAATTTTGATTAGTTAGGGATTTTGGTAAATAAATAAATACAGAATTCGCAGAATCGAAGAAATTTATTATAAAGTATATAATTTCAATCGTCCTGAAAGTTTATCTTAATACGGTTTCCTTCTTATTTATTTCTGTAGTTCAGATTAATGTAAGCCTGGTTTAAAGTGAATGTAACTACATACTGCTTTCTGTTTATGAATTTTAAATGAATGATAGATATGGAAGCGTGATTTAGGATTTTTTGTTTTAAAATATAAAAAATATTTCAAAAGAGCGCAAAATCATTGTCTTTTAAAATATGTAAGCACATAATAATAGCCTTTCCGCGCAAAAATTCCAACAAAATGGTCGATTGGAAGACTTTTAGATGCAGCATATCAAATTCCTTTAACTGAGCAGAAAAATTCAATTCAATTAATCGTTGCAGGAAAGATCAATGAAGCTTTATTCATGCAATATTTCATCAAACTTTTGATGATTCAAAATATATACCGCAGGTAAAATACATATTCAGGAACGCCGCCACCATCGCGAGCCTGCATTTCTATTTCGTATATAAATGCAAATGCTTGAATAAATTGGAATAAATCCTGAACAGTTGGAGTGTTTTTTTTTTCATACCAAAATCTATTGTACAGAGAAGAAAATCGAGCCATCGTTTATCCTTTGTGTTTGTGAATTGTTTTGGCAAACTGGACACAGGGAAAGTCGACTTGTAACGATGTCGCCTCGCTCTAAGGGGGCTTGGAGCCTCGCAAAAGCTCCTATGCGTGCACAAATATATTGTGCTACAACAGATGAACGTCTCACATTCAACAAAACTATGTAATTTTACCAATTGTAATGAAGCATGGTGGCAGTGAATGAAGTTCAAACTAATGCTTCATTACGTTACATTACGGTCAGAGATCAAAGTTTCAAGGGTGCATGAAGACCTGAAAGTTACCATAAAAAATGTGTGATCAATAAACACACTTCACAGAGAGCAAAATCACACCATGTTCTACGCGACGTTAATGCTGTATACATTAAAACACAGCAAAACAAACTAGAGATGATGATTTATCAGGCGATTAAATTCCTGCAAGGATTCTGCTGACGTTAAATACAAACAACGCTGACGCGGCGATGGAGAACTGCTCACAAAAAATATCAATAATAATTTTCCTGAAAGATGCTGAGGCTGTTTTTTTCAGGACGGCGGCATAATATCCATCGGTTGCAAGTAATTTTTTGTATCATGCATTGCTCATTAAGTAAAACACATCAGCAGAAATATTTCAATTAATTATAAATATTTAGTTAGGATAGTTAACACTGAAGCATCTCGACGATTCACTGACATTATCTTATGCATTGATGAATGGTAAGTTGGCAAGGTTATAAATTCTTGAGAGTGACGCGTTATATATTTATTGTTCGCTTATAAATATTGTAATGATTGTACAAATTTCTACCGCATCATGCACTTGAATAATTGATTCAGCACTGAGAAAAATTATTTTCACGAAGGTGAAATATGCATTAATTAACTACAGGTATGTGATATTTAAAAAGTATGTGATATTTAAAAGTCAACTTTCAAAACTCGGAGCAAATAGGCCTGTTCTGTTGTCGCATTCATTAAAGATAGAGAGTGTGGCGGATGCGACACTAAGCTCTGGCACTCACGATATATCAGAGAAAGTCATTAGTGCGGCTTTATGAATATTTATACACTTAGGTGGAATAATAAGTGGATATTATCAGTAAAATGTACAATACTGAACAAAGAGGTGAAATGTGAGCTCTTTAACACTGATTACCTCAAATATTTTAGAGCTACAAATTGTAAGGAAGAATTTTAATGCATAAATCGCAATATAATAAACTAATTTAAGTCGTTTTCTTATTTACATTGCTTTAATCTAATAAATGTTTCGTTACACACGCAGCGATCGACGAGAGTGGACAGAAATTTTTGGACTTTGAAGCTAGTCTTTGATAAAATATCAGCCTCTCGATTGAATATTCATTATAGATTAACTTACTAAACTCGATATCAAATATTTTTGGCCACCTTGACTTGAAGTTTACATCAACTTAAATCAAAATTGTCTCAATTTTTTAACTCCATAACGATACAAGGTAATTATTACCATCTGAGGTAAAACGCTAACCTTAAACATCGATACATTTATTTTATGAAGAGAATTAACTTTGTATTAAAATAATACAAATCTCTACGTTGAAAACTAGGAACAGATCACGAAAAAATAAATATGAATGTCATTTTGGCATCAGCCAGCAGGCGACAAATTTTGACAGATTCAAATCCGGCAATCACAGTAGAGCTCCTGGACACATGCAACACTTGTACTCGAGTAAGTCAGGGTACAGAGACACAGATGTTCAAGCGACTAGTGAGCGTCTAAAAGCTATCCTGCCGCCAGAGAGAATCGAACTCTCGACCCCTAGTTTACGAGACTAGTGCTCTGCCCCTGAGCTATGGCGGCTTGTCCAACACAAGACGGTTGTTTGATCATATGTTATCACATTTACGTGCTGATATATTTATTCATTCGAATTAAATGCGGCAAAAACCATCGGAAAATCTGTTGCATTTTCAAAATTTTACAACGTTAGAAATTCAGTAATTTCAGAGCTAGAATGACGTTAGGCGAATTTTATATCGTTAGCAGTTCAAATACGAATTCGACACTAAGAAAGAAAAAGCAAAAGTCACCCCACACAAAAATGCATCACTACTAGAGTAAGATTAAACATAAGAATACATTTGATATTGAAATGTGTCTCGGATCCAGCGAAATGTTAGCGCCTTTTCTAGCGTAGAAAAGACGAAACTCACGAGGTTTCAATTTATTCTTGTGCATCGCAAATTTCAATTTGATTTTTTAAACTCAATCTTTTTCTATCGCACGCAAGTAATTCAGAATTTTGTGAAGGCAATTAGGGAGCGCTTGACCTCCTGTCGTCTGAATCCGCGTGTGCCATTAGCCTCCTATCAAATATTGCGAGGCTGACGTCAAATAATATTTCGAAATCGTAAAATCTATTCAAACCTGACGAATGCAGGTACGTCATTTTTAAATTTTAATTCTAGAGTAAAATACGAGTACGGAACAAAATGCGACAACAGCTAGAAAACTCGGAATGAATCGTTAAATGGAGTAGATAACTTGAAGCATCATATGAGTAAGAAAAGAGAGCAAGAGAAAAGAGAAAGAGAAGAGAGCAAGAGAAGGAGAGCAAGAGAAGAGAGCAAGAGAAGGAGAGCAAGAGAAGAGAGCAAGAGAAGAGAACAAGAGAAGAGAGCAAGAGAAGAGAGCAAGAGAAGAGAGCAAGAGAAAAGAGCAAGAGAAGAGAGCAAGAGAAGAGAGTAAGAGAAGAGGGTAAGAGAAGAGGGTAAGAGAAGAGAGGAAGAGAAGAAAGTAAGAGAAGAGAGTAAGAGAAGAGAGTAAGAGAAGAGAGTAAGAGAAGAGACAAACAGAAGAGACTAAGAGAGGAGAGTAAGAGAGGAGAGTAAGAGAAGAGACTAACAGAAGAGACTAAGAGAGGAGAGTAAGAGAGGAGAGTAAGAGAGGAGAGTAAGAGAGGAGAGTAAGAGAGGAGAGTAAGAGAGGAGAGTAAGAGAGGAGAGTAAGTGAGAAGAGAGTAAGAGAAGAGAGTAAGAGAAGAGAGTAAGAGAAGAGAGTAAGAGAAGAGAGGAAGAGAAGTGAGTAAGAGAAGAGAGTTAGAGAAGAGAATAAAGGGAAGCAAACAAGAGCGAGTAAGCGAGTAAAAGAAAAGAATAAGAAAAGAGAATAAAAGTAAATAATAATGTTCATATTGTTGAGAGAACCATGAAATATGTACACAAAGAACCATAAAATATGTACAGCTGCGAGACAGTCGTGCAATGCGTCACCGGTAAGGTTCATGCGATCTGACTAGCGTGGTCGTACGTACGGTGAATGATCAGCCTTAAAAAATAAGCAGTTAACAATCGATATTATTGACTTCCAATTTTAAAATTAACAAGCTACAAAGTAAAAAGTTATATAAATTATATATCGCCTATATAGTGTGCAAGCTCGATAAAATATCAACAGTTCAGCTCGACTCAAATCAAATCTGCAGAAAAAAAATGTTCAAATGAATAATACGTAACTAGGGTTTAAGTGAAATTATTGCACATTGAGGAGCATTTATTCTTTAACTATAACAACATCCGATTCATAACAATAGCGAGGCATCGCTGAAGACTTCATAGATCAAAATATTGCGAGTCTCAAGTCCTTCACTAAAAAGAATTCGGGGATAACCTATTAAAACTTATGATTGTCTTAGATTATCACGGGTGTAACATGAAGTTGATGCACACAGTATACAGCCGAATTTAAGAAACCCACTTCGGTATTAGTTAATAGATGACATTGAATTCATACTTTTTAAATTCCGAACATCCAAGTAAAAGCAGCGAAATGACAAATTTAAATTATTTAATTTTCACGATACAGTTGTTTAGCATCAAAAAGTTCATTGAAAAGTAACCGGTCGATTAGTCAATTCGAACCTTCATACTAGCAAATACAAGACCATAGATAAAGAGATGTCCACAAAAATGTGAATTTCAAAAACATTTTATGGCACATCTTGGTAATGTTGAAACGCACGAGTAAATAATATAAAATTGGGAAGCAAAAACCAACAAATAACCACAAAACTTCAGTTATTTCCACCACCAAGAGTAATAAACCTGCCCAAAAATACAAATAAGTAGGTTAACCTTTAGGTTAGCCAATAATCATTTGTAAATAGACTACAAATATCAACAAAATCCCAGTTCCCAGACCAGAAAGTGGTCCATTTTTCTTGACCGCGGTTGTGGACAAGCGATAATCTGGACATTTCGTAGAGCTGGTCCGTATGGTCGATTTATCTGAGACGAAACGAAAGTCCAAATAAAATGTAGCGGTTCAATAAATAATTGAGTCCCTTAGGAATGTCCCAAACTATAGCGGACCACCCGCCATTCTTTGGTCGGGCTGCGAAACATACAACAGCGAGGAATGTTTCATGCATTTTTGGGAACACAAAAATAAGAATTTGTTGAATTTAGCTGTTCAAAACTTGGAGACGATTTTGAGGACCGAAGAAAAATTATAGTCCAAAAGAAGTAATTTACCTGCACACCAATGGAAAAATGTATAGTTTAAATATTTATATTGCCAAAACCTTACGTTAGATTTCTATCATACTCTATCTTTTCATATCTAAAACAATTACTTATGACAATTATTTTAAAAACAGCCTAAGATAAAGTTTATAATTTGTTGCAGCGAAAACTAGCGCCTATATAGTTTTTAAAAATATTACATCATGTATGCATAGAAAGCATACACAAGACCTAATAATAGGAATATATTAGCCTGATATCGTGGTGTGAAAATTCGACTTCTTCAATGTGACGTCATTTCCCCTGCGCTAATGTCCAAATAAATACCAAGATATTTTGTGACTCACTTAATAGTTGTTAATATTCGTATTTATAGACACGTTTTCCTCACAGCTACTCAGCTTCGATGAGGCTTTCAAATGAAATTTCAAATGAACTTGCACACAGGAAAATGAATGGATCATACTGTCCAAATAGTGACTAGCCCACAAAGGGCAAAAAGTGCATCGATTTTTGGATAGTTAGACTAAGTCTCAGCCATTTCTAAGAATGCTATGTGCACGCTACACACTCGTGTATTGCCATGCCTTCACAACATGCATGCGTGTACGTCAAACTAATCGCCTTTGTTGTGACAGGAAACGTCACACAGAATACTCCTGGCACAGTAGGTCGGGCAAAATTAAATTCAGGGTATGGCTGAAAATACTAATTTCCGAACCAGCAACTGTGAGACAATCCTTCCTGGCTCACATGCAACACATGGAACCTATAATTCAGCGAATGCTTTCACCCTTCAATCAACTAACACTGCATTGAATGATGAATATAGTTTACGGCTATTGTAAACAAAAACTTCGCAGGTGTGTGAAAAGTTACATGGGAGAAAACATTTGGTGTGGTGTTGCTCACACCTTGTCTCGGTGCAACAATGTTTGTTTAGTTTGTACAGATGTAGGCTGGAGCCATGCAGAAGATGTTGGTCTCCTAGAGTGCTGCTGCAATTAATTGAAACTGTCGCTGACACGCCGCTTTCTCAATGATATTAATGAACAACTCAGAACCTGTTGAGGCTCCAAATAAGCTCATTGCCAAGTTTCGTGGATTGCCTTGGATTCTTGCGTACAAGGTGCGACGAGAGCAGTTCCCTCTGTAGACAATACGCGACAGTGAAAAATGTTACAAAATGTTATGTTAAACGTGAAACATTTTATGAACTTATGATGAAAGTTTAATAATGGCCTTTTAAGTTGTGCAACAGCTGTGAAAAATGCAAAATTTCGTGGTACAATTTTAATGATCGAATCACAACACGCCGCTAACGTCGATGCCCACACATCACAAAACTGCTCCTACTTTACGATGCAAATTCAAAAGCTTTACTGTGACTTTCGGATCACAAAGTCCAGATTGCGGATAGTTGACCACAGATTTCATAGAGCTTGGATGCTTGCATAGCAATACGGTACAAGATTCGACGCCCATGCCAAACACAAGGCACCGAGCCAAGCCTCAGGAGAAGCCAGGCAGCAGAGGCCGCTGTACCATGACATCAACACGGCAATAAAGCCATGCGTCTCAATCCGTGAGCGCTGAGCAGCGTCCTCCATTATAGCCAAGGATGTCATCCATTACTCGAGGTTGACAGCGTACCCTCAGTTCGCGAGATTCCTAGGGACATGAAATCGTGCAAAGCACCGGGGCTGCGACAGAGCGATCACCGGCCACCTATACCATCACTGCTTGCATATGCACGCTTCCACGAGCGGCTGATCTCGGGATGATGCCATGCGACTGATAGCAAATGTCGATGCCGTTTCTCACGTTATGGAGCGGGTGTAATAAGAACGAGTGGAAAACACGCGGGTGTAATAAGAACGAGTGAAAAACACGCGGGTGTAATAAGAACGAGTGAAAAACACGCGGGTGTAATAAAGAACGAGTGGAAACGCTTTTCAATAATGCTGCTTTATATACGGTGAAGTAAAAATTTATTGATTGTTATTTACTTGACAAAGTTTGCCTTTGTATAAACAAAATGTTTTACAATACTTCGGGCCTCGCACACATGGCAATGTTGTCAACTCGCCAAAAGTAACAATATTTAATATTAGCAATGGAAGTGCCTAAAACATGAATATAATACTTACTTATTGACTGCAATCTTCAGTGAAGTAGCTTGCTAGAAAATTTTCAGTTTATAAGGAAAGGATTATGGAAAATACAGCTCATACTTTGAAAAATAACAGTCGATTTTTTGTCGATTGGTCCCACTCTCGGGAAATTATATGCACGACAAGGACGCCATGAGTCTTGCTCTTACGACAAGTCTTGCTC